ATTCATTGTTGAGAGACAGAGAGACACAGAGCATGAGCAGGGGAGGGATAGAGAGAGGGGAGACACAGAATCTGAAGCAGGCTCCAGGCTCTGAGCTGTCAGCACAGAGCCTGATGTAGGGCTTGAATCCACGAACCATGAGATCATGACCTGAGCCGAAGTCGGTTGCCCAACCGACTGAGCCACCCAGGCGCCCCAGATTGGTTCAAATTTAATTGGATAGTTCTAGATAACTAGGATATAAATATATTTTGGATTGTAAGTCCTAATTTACCTGAGGGAATCTAGATATACCTAATTTATAAATTATTGTGCTGCATCTACATACACCAAAGCACTGAGCAACAGTCTAATACCATGGTCTTTCATAATGCAAATCAAGGGCAAATGAGATAAAATTATAAACCCAAAGTCAATCTTGATTTCAGGCACTCTATATAAATCTCTAAAGGGTATTATCTATCTTCTTTTTTGAAGATGTTCTTTTGCAATCAATTTATGATATCATAATCTAATAATTAATGTTTATTGAGGATGTACTTCTTGCTAAGAATGGCATCAAGACATTTTATATACATTATTTCCTCTGCTCATTTCTGCCTGTTGCGTATGTATCGTTATCCCTAATTTATGGATGTGGAAATGATGGTTAAATGACACATAAAGTTACACAGCTAGTGCTGTAGCCAGGATTGAGCTTTAATCTGTCTGACTACAAAGCTGACTCTTTCCTATATACCATATCACACTGCCAGTTAATGCCATGAACTTTTTCCTGTGCCAGTGTTATTCTAATCAAAACCTTATCACACAGATTATTCACCCATCCAATGAAACACACACAAAAACGAAAACTTTCATACTCTTCAATCTTTTGGCGAAGAGCCTCACAATCTTCTCTATAAATCTGTATCCTGGGTCGGTAAACATACTGACTTAACATCACGTCTTCTGGAGTAGGTGGTGTGTTTACAGTAAACTGGAAAAAAAAGAAAATCGGTCCCTCAAAACTGGTAGTTTGAAGACAAAACCATGTTTAAAAACTGTTTCACGTTTCAGAGTGCTTATTTTATTTTTATTTTATTTTTTTAATTTTTTTTTTTCAACGTTTATTTATTTTTTGGGACAGAGAGAGACAGAGCATGAATGGGGGAGGGGCAGAGAGAGAGGGAGACACAGAATCGGAAACAGGCTCCAGGCTCTGAGCCATCAGCCCAGAGCCTGACGCGGGGCTCGAACTCACAGACCGTGAGATCGTGACCTGGCTGAAGTCGGACGCTTAACCGACTGCACCACCCAGGCACCCCTCAGAGTGCTTATTTTAAAAAGTCATAAAAGAAAAATTTGATTACCCTATGAAATTGATATACCCAATAATCTAGTAGTTGGAATTTGAATTCAAGTCTCTGACGTCAAAGTCCATTTCCTACATTTGTTTAGTGGATGTTCCATTCACATGCGAGTCAAAGTGGTTTGAAAATGGTTATGTGTTTTTTTAAGAAAATCAATACCTAAAAGTTCAAACTTATCAGGAACTCTTTCATTAAAAGAAAGAAAAAAGATGCCAGTTTCCCAGATTTTTCTTTTCAACTCTCATTCTCTAGCTCTAATCCATACTTGTGTCTCAGTTTAGATTCAAAATTTTCTGGCATCTATAAAATAAGGTAGTAAAAATATGGTTATTTTTAAAAACGTTTTATAGCTCTAATCCAATGATTTTTTTTTTTTTAAGATTTTATTTTTGGGGCACCCGGGTGGCTCAGTCAGTTAAGCATCTGACTCTGGCTATAAGCTCAGGTCATGATCTTGCAGTTTGTGGGTTCAAGCCCCGCGTCAGGCTTTGTGCTACCAGTGTGGAGCTTGCTTGTAATTCTCTCTTCCTCTCTCTCTGCCCTTCCTGTTCTCTCTCTCTCTCAGAATA